TATATATATATATATATATATATATATATATTATAACACAATTTTTAGAGTAAATATTCGGTGTGTATAAATCATCTTCATACACTTAAGAAAAAAAAAATACTTTTTCTTTATGGGATAATATGTGATCAAGACCATCTTTTATCTAAAAAAAAATTTTAATTTCATATGATGAAATTGTACAACAAAAAATGTACACATTGATCTTAAAAGATCTAACAATTCAGAAGAGAACAATATCACAGTGACAAACTCACTATAACGAAATTGTGAGACCCACCTAACTGAACGAGCTAAGCCATACGAGATATGCCAACTATGCCAAAACTAACCCGACAGAACAGTTGGTTCATCAAAGGATCTCAATAATATGAAGTATCCTCAGTAGCGATTGAAGATGGTCAACTAGGCTGGATCTACAATCCAAACTCTACCGACCAAGCTCAACAAATCAAGCTGACCCAATCAAATTTAGTCAACTAGGCTTAGACGGCCAAGCCAGAATGTAACTAGATAATAAGCCCCCACTTATAAAATACCACAAATACCCCAGTACAAACCCCTTTCGAGCAAAGATAAAAATGTAATATCACAATTGTATTATCTCCTCTATAAAATAGAGAAACATTTTTCGAAGAAGAGACTATAAAACATAATATGGTGGTCCTTAAAGAAAAAATCACACATTTTATGCAATGAGAGGGTCTGAAGGAACAAAACCAATATGAATGCCCATGCCTCAGGGTGATCTTTCGTGGCCATTCATGAATCAAAAAATACTTTAGTCTTTTTTATTTTATTTTCATTTTGTTATTTAAATGCAATAAAGTTTGAAAGTGTAAATACAATGTGCAATTTTGATTTTTGTTATGGTCATGAATTTCTTAGTTTTGAAAAAATATGAGTTATTTAATTTGGATAGATAAATGAGTCATTAAAGAGCCTAGCGATAAATCAAGGCAAAAGCAAGCAACCATCAACCTTATAAAATGGGCAAACATCTAATTGAGCAGAAAATAATGAGATAATAAGAACAAAAAGGCAACAAAAAAACAATAAGGGTCTCCAACCCTAGACCTATGATAAACTCATTAGTGAGCTATATATATATATA